CTCTAGAGTTCCTCCAAGGCTTGTTGGCACTCTGGGGTCCATGTGAAGTTATTCTTCTTCTTTAACAGTGAGAAGAATCGATGACTTTTGTCGGAGGACCTCGAGATGAATCGACCCAAAGAGGCTATATGTCCGGTTAACCTTTGTATGTCCTTGACGTTGTCCACTGCGGTGATGTCCTCTATGGCCTTGATTTATCAGGATTGATCTCGATCCCCTGATTTGACACCATGAATTCGGGAAATTTTCCGCACCCGACTCCAGATGCACATTTTTCCAGGTTCATCTTCATATTGTATCTCTTCAATATGTTGAAGGTTTCCTACAAATGCTTCAAATGGTCCTTTGCTCGCAGGGACTTAACCAATAGATTGTCAATATAAACCTCCATTGATTTTCCTATATGTTCTTCGAACATCCGATTTACTAAGTATTGGTAAGTGGCACTGGCGTTTTTTAATCCGAATGGCATTACGTTATAGCAGTAGGTACCGTACTTAGTGATGAAGGACGTTTTTTCCCGGTCGCCCGGGTCCATCCGAAATTGATTATACCCGGGTAAGGCGTCGAGAAAACTGAGGATCTCGTGGCTAGTTGTCGCATCGATCATGCGATCGATGTTAGACAAAGGGAAAGTCCTTAGGGAATGCCTTATTCAAATCTTTATAGTCTATACACATTCTTAATTTATTCCCTTTTTTAGGGACTACCACTGTGTTTGCTAACCAATCCGGGTACTTAACCTCCCGAATGAACCCTATTTTAAGGAGTTTCGATACCCCGTCATTGATGAATGTATGCTTGACTTCAAATTGAGGTCTAATTTTCTATTTGACTGGATGGAACTTCGAGTCCAGGCTCAGCTTGTGAGTGGTTATCTCCAGAGGGATCCCTGTCATATCAAGGTGGGACCAAGTGAAACAATCTTCTTTAGCTATAAGGTAACCCTGTGCCTAGGTGTACCTTACGATCGGGCAAATGCTCAATCAATATGACTTGCTCCAGTTCTTCGACCGTTGACTTGGTTGCTTCAGATTCATCGGGGGCTATAAAAGACCTGGGCACCCTGTGATCGTTGTCTTCACCCGTCCCCTGCTTCTCTGATTGGGCCGGTGTTGGTAAGTGCTATTTCCTTTCTTCCTTAGCGGCCGAACCCAGACTTTTTAGTGTTGAAAGTGCAGATATTAGGATCACCTCTTCGACTGCAAACATCTCCTTTGCGGTTGGTTGTTCTCCGTATATTGTTTCAATCCCTCCTGGTGTTAGGAATTTCAACACCTGGTGCAGGGTCGATGGCACTACCCTCATGTTGTGAATCCAGGGCCTCCCAAACAGAGCATTGTACCTCATATCTCCTTCGATCTCATAGAACTTAGATTCCTAAATGGTTCCAGCGGCATTCACCGGTAATGTTATCTCTCCTTTAGTGGTCTCACATGCGATGTTGAATCCGTTTAGAACTCAGACTACAAGCATGATTTGGTCTTGTAGACCGAGCTGTTCCACGACCCTCAACAGTATTGCTAACCAATTAGGATACTTTACCTCGCGGATAGACCCAATCTTCAATAATTTTTGGACCTCATCCTGAATCACCTGATTTTTGAAAGTTCCTTGCTTTCGCTTCTTTTGCTTGACAGGTGGATATGATGGGTCTTCATTTAACTTGTGAGTCATTACCTCTGGTGGTATTCCTGTCATATCAGAATGGGACCAAGCAAAACAATCCACGTTAGTTTTCAAAAATTCAATCAACTTACCTTTCATGTCTTGGCTTAGATTGGCCCCTATGTAGACTTTCATTTCAGGCCATTGTGTAAATAATACTACAGCGTCCAGTTCTTCAATCTTTGTTTTGATATTTTCGTTTTCCCCTGGTTCTTGAATGGTATCGGGCCTCGAGTCCACATCTGTTCGCCCTTGTTCAGTTGAGGTTTATGTTGTGGTACCCTCAGCTGGATTCTGTAACTGCTATTTTTCTTCGTTTCTCGTACTTGAATCTGCTACGGAGTTGATGCTCCTGGATGTCTGTTGATCCCCACGGATTTGACATATTCCCCATGGTGATGGAAATTTAATAACTTGATGTAAGGTCGACGGAACAGCATCCATCTCGTTGATCCATGGTCTCCCGAGAATCATATTGTAAGCCATCTCCATATCTACCACCTGAAATTTTGTATCTTTGACAACTCCTTCTACGAATGTAGTAAGTATTACCTCCCCTTTTGTCACGACGCTGGAATTGTCGAATCCAGACAAAATATGCCTCTTTGGTACTAATTTATCTTCAGCTTGCATTTTGTGTAGTACTCTTAGCAGAATAATGTTCACGGAACTACCTGGATCAATCAAAACTCGTTTCACATTAGTATCATGTACAAGTAGAGATATTACCAGTGCATCGTTATGTGGAGTTAATACGCCATCCGTATCTGCATCATCAAACATAATACTTTCTTCCTCTAAGACATGTCGCACCCGCTTCCCGTGGGTAATTGTGACTTTGGAAACTTTATTGGCTATTATGTATGTCACGCCATTGATTTCTTCACCTCCGCTTATAACATTAACGGTCTTTTTGGGAGAAGGCGGTTTAGGGGGCTCTTGCCTATTCTTCATATATGCTTGCTTTCCTTTCTCACTAAATAATTCAGTGAGATATCCTTGCTTCAATAGATGATCAACTTCACCTTGTAGCAATCTACAATCTATCGTTTTATGACCATGATTGTTGTGAAATTCGCACCAATGATCAGGATTACGCCTGTTTGGATTTGATCTCATTTCTTTTGGCCACCGCACCTTATCACCCATGCTTCTTAAAATAGCTACGAGCTCGGAAGTGCTTACATTAAAATTATAACCGCCAAATCTTGCCTTCAGGTTTCTATCATCATCCCGCGCCTCTCGCGTGTTTCGATCATTCCCAAACCTTGAGGATGAACCCGACTCTCTATTCCTCGATCTATGATCGTACCTTGAATTGTCCTGTTTTGATCGTGAATCTTTTCCCGCTGGGCCCATATATGGTTCGTATCTGTTTTTACCGGACCTTTTTCCGATTTCTGCCCGTCTCGAACTCGCCTTTTCCTCTTTTTGAGACCGTGAGATAATATCTTCTTCTATCCTTAGCTTCGTGCTATACCTGTTATAAAGGTCATTCCATGTTGTTGCTGGGAATTCACAAAGACTTTCCTTGAGTCGCCTCGTGGCTTCTGAGCTTTTTTTCATTCAAATTACTGGTGCAGGCTATAGCTGCCGAATTGTCTGGTACACGTGGTAACGTCATTCTTTCACGCTGGAACCTATCCACGAATTCTCTAAGCAACTCTGAGTCCCCTTGCTTGATTTTCAAAATATCTTCTATTCTTTTTTTGACTTTTTGAGCTCCCGAATGTGCTTTGATAAATGAATCTGCAAGCTCAGCAAAAGAATTTATGGAATTTTCGGGTGTAAGAGAATACCATGTTAATGCTCCTTTAGTTAGTGTTTCACCGAATTTTTGACCAATACTGATTCAATTTCTTGTTTGGTCAAGTGGTTGCCTTTGACGCCAGTTGTGAATGCAGTCACGTGGTCTCGTGGATCAATTGTTCCAACATTTTAGGAATATCGAGCATTTTGAATTTCTTTGGAATTGGGAGAGGAGCAGCACTTGGCTTCCAAGGTTGTTGTGAATATTTGTCCATATCTATCCCTTTGATTACAAGCGGTACTCCAGGTATTTGCTCTATGCGGTCACGTTGTTCCTTGAGCTGTTTCTGCAATGTCAATACTAAATTTTGTAAATCAGAATTGACCAGGTTACCTGGTTCTCCATCTCGTGACTCGCTGGGGAGTGGACTCCCCGAATTAGCAAGCCCGGAACGAGAGTTCTCTAAAGTGTTGTTATTTGAAATTGGTGTTGATGGTGCAACAGGCAACTGGCTGGTAAAGGCCTCAAGGGCTTTATTGACCTGTTGAGCGATTAGCTTTTGCAAAGTTTCATAGATAGCTTCATCGTTTTCAAATTGAGCATTTACGTTTGAATGAGATCCATCAGGAGTGCCCTCTCGAGACCGCCAAGGGGAGCTTTGTGGATAAGGGAGCGGGGTGCGATTATCTTGTGAATTCCCCTGGAGTTGATGGTTTCATTGGGTGTTATCGTTAACATTTGACCTGGTTGTTGATGTAACAAGAAAGGTTAGGTTTAGAATAGATTATCAGATACCCAATAACGGAACCAATTTATTTAACAAAAAAATAAAATTTCGGTCAAAATTTTATTTTAAAAAAACTCAGGTTACTGATAATCAAAAAATAAAATGAATAAAGGAAATTAATTTTGCAAATAATAAGATGAACAGAAGAAAGCAAAGTAAACCAGTATATTCTAATAATATTTCATGTCCCTACAAATGATCAGTCTTCTCCTTTTTATAGCTATTTCTGAAATATACATTTTGCCTCTATTATAATAAAGCTATTATAGACAATTAATAAGATTTAATGATACATTACAATGACAATCATTATAATTCAATACAGATTTTCTAACATTTTCAGTATTTAATACTTACTAAATACAGTATACGTTCTCTCTTATGCTGTCAGATTCATTCTCCTTAAATCTTGAACTTAAATAGGTACGAACATCGAATCTTTTGATTATCTGCTCGTATCTCCGCTCGTTCCTCTGCTCGTACCTGTTAAAACTCGTGCCTCTTTGCCAATCATTATTCTTTTCCCAGCCTTCGTATCATGATATGTCTATCTTTCACTTACTTCAATATATACACACCCAATTTTTTTCATTACCCATAATAGTTTTTTCTTTCTTAATTTCTCAAGCCCATGATGGGTTGACGCCACAAATTATTTCAATCCTAAAACGATATTTGGACTGCGGTTTCACCATCTACTTATCTAAAATCAATAGAAAACATGTACCCCTAACTCATTGATACATGAATTGCAACATCTCTGCTCGCTTCACGGTCAAAAAGCGCTAAAAGAAATTAAAAAGCATAACAGATTATCCACAATCAGTAAATCTTCAATTCCTACAAACTGACAAGGGAAAGCTTTTAAATTTAACTTCAAATACCTAGGGACAACCCCCCTCCCCCCTCCAAAAAAAGAGAGAGAGAAGTCCCAACTTCCAAACATTCAAGGCTTACGCTGTGAACACCTCTTCAAGCACAAGTTACAACCTCTGTCCAAAGATGAAGAGTTTGAACAGAGGCAAAAACAAGCATACAAGATTTATTTAGATATACATTTCAGAATCCAACTACTCTCAATTTTAGAATTTACAGCATCTCATAAATTCTAAATTGGACGAAACCAGCTAGAGTGATATGAATGTTGATAATAAACCATCAACAGAAGCAACACCACCATTAACGCCGGACCCCAAGGAGGACTTCCTTCTTGGCGCATGGCTTCGTACAGAACCGGCCTCGGACCACCACCGCCTCCGGCGGCTTCCGGAGAAAACCACCTGTTATTAACAACTATGGCGTATACCATAAGAACTACAAGCATAGGCAACAAGAATAGCAGCAGCGTCATACTATTCTTGGAACGTTGTTCTTGTGCCTTATGGTCTGAGTAACCAGCAAAATACATCAGCAAGATTACCAGACCGAAAAATAATATCAAAGGAAAGGGAGGTGCTGATGCTGACTCTACTGTTTGGTCTCTCCAGCTGATCCCTCTTCTCTCACTTGTAAACCAACCCATCTCAACCTTTTGTTATAATCAGAGTTTCTCTGTTTCTAGTTTCTCTCACTTTTTCTGTTGGAAAGATTGGCAGGAGAATGTGCATATATATATAGAGAGGGGAAGAAGTGCGTTATCTTTTTTTTTTTTTTCTCTTGTTAAGTAAGCGCAAGCCGACTTTACTTTTCAACTCATGCTGAGTGCATACTTTTTTATATTATCCAACTGTTTCACGTACGGAGTATATAATTACGGGTTATATTAAAATAATATTCAGATTACCATGTAAATATCTGATGAATTTAAGTTTTATCCAATGCTATATATAGATACTGTATGGAGTATATAATTTGACCAAATCACAAATTTATAATTTTTTTAGTATAAAACAACTTAAATTGTTAGGATTAAAAGGTATACTATAGCCTTGCAAGGGTGGACTGAATTGGTTGGAAAGTAATTTTTTATATGGGAGAGTTGGGGATCATTTCCCTATCATCAGTCTTGTTAGTCAGAGTTCGTTGCATTGAACTTGTGGTGCGATTTATATTTTTTATGTGATTTATAAGCTATTCACAATGAACATATTACACGGTACGCATTCAACGAGTAGCGGCTATGAATTATCTGATATTTTCATCCAAATAAAGAAAGTAAACTACTCTGGAAGGAGCTATAGAAGCCTAGAACTCAACTGTATTCGGCTTAAGGAAGAAGCTGAAGTATATCTTTGTTTGAACAGTCGTCTCTGCGTAAATATGATGAGTAAGTTGATGACAAGTGGCATGCATGCAACGGTGTAGAGACGGCCCACGGAAGCTGACGAGGCTTTTCTTTGAATTCGGCCAAGAAAGATGCAGGAGCGTGCCTGAATATTGAACACACTTTAATAGTATATTTAACAAGACGGAAAAAATTATTTGCTATTTTGTTTTGCAAAGGTGGAGGATGGAGAGGAAAAGGAAGGAAACGTTTTTTATTCGATGGAGTCTCTATATTTACCCAAAAAAAAAAAGAAAAAAGTATAACAATTGAATTTATATACGTGGATTAATTCAATATAAATAATAAATTAGTTAGATTAAACAGATAAAAACATAATAAATTGTCAAACCAATTAAGGGAAGCGATCTCGAACTCAATAACAGCTTTAATGAAATACCTGCCTTCGATCTCGGGCTCACGTTAATGATGAACTGATGAACAAAAGTAAGAACTTTGAATAACAGAGAAAATAAGAGCATATTGCCTTGATATGCATGTTACAATGTCCCTAATGAATAATCAGGCCCCCCCCCCCCCCCTTATATAGTAGGGGAATTTTACCCTAAATACAATTCCATAAAAGGTAAAAATCTTTCGTTTTACTAATCACCGATTTTCAGCCGATACATGCTGAGATTCACACCGTGACATCCGGCTGGTCACGGATATCACGGCCTTTTATTAGTCGTGCTCGATTATCTGGAAATGCTCTCCGAGATTTTTGGGATTCAAATCGAACCTAGGAGTCGCGGCCCCGATACTTTCGATGGTAGGTGTTTTGCCCGAACCCCGACTCGAGGGGCTCCTTGCCTCGATTCCGGTTCCTTACAGTCATGTCTCTTGCTCCGTTTACTTCATTGAAAATCGAGGCATCCCACGGGCTCGGTTTCACCCGTATACAGATAGTCCCCTTATTTCTCGGAGATTAAGTTTACGGAAACGACGAGAAGCGATATGTGCACTTCGATACCTTCTTCAATATGCCGTGACAGAAACGATAAAGAATCCAAAACGTCCCGTCAGTCGTGTCTTTATGACTTCAAACGCGTGTCAGCCATCGGCGGGTCATCCCTAGATGTGAAACGGCGCGAAGCCTCTTCCTTCATTCATTTTTCACCTTTAGACCAAGCTTCTACTTTCGAGTCTTTAGGATATCACCGCCCTTCTTCATATTCTAACATTTTTACTCTGTTCTTCAAGATTTCTTAGTAAATTGCAAGCTTTTGCTTATTTTCTACCCAAACCAGCGCACTTGACTTTCTCATTAAAGCTTTTTCCTTTCATCTTCCAACCTTTCTTCATATTTTCAACCTCTTTCCAGATAACAATTAAAAATTCCAAAACTGTTCCCCAAAAAGTCGCTTCCTCTTCTTCACAACCGACCGCCGAAGTCGAGGTGACCATTCCCGATGTGGTCGTCCTCGAGAAATTTGCTTCGGGCGCAGCTATCGATGAACCGGCTGTCAAGCCTCCCTTGAAAATGTTTGTTCCCGAGGGGTGCTCGGTCGCAGATGACTTTAAGGTCAAAAAGCCCTCGTCGGTGCAGGGTCGATGTGAGGCGGTGTCTAGGTATATTTGTTCCATCACCGAAAAAGCCCTTCCTATGGTTCGAAAGGAGTGCGACTGGGTGGATAAGGATGTAGTAGTCCCCGGGCCCGAGGACGCAATTACTACCCATGTGAAGGGGTATTTGAGTGTGTGCAATTATCCCTTCATGCTGGGCCCCGGTAGACCCGATTATTTTGGACTTCTGCAAGAGGTATGATGTATGCCTCGGTCAAATCCACCCGTCACTGTGGAGTATCATAATCCTTCTTCGATACTTTGTGAACAAGACTGAATCTCGTCGGTTCACCGTCGATCACCTACTCCGCCTATACAATCTCCGAATCTTCCGAGAGGGACTGATAAAGCTCACACGCCGGACTAGCAAAGCCCCATTCTCGAGCATCGATGAGACTGGGATCAGGACTGGCAGGGACGCTTCGTCCGGGTAAAGACCGCAGACTTGATCCCTTCCAAGTTTATGATTTAGGGTTTTGCAAGTGTGTGTTTTTCCCTTGCCTCATGTTGGTAATATACAAGTGAAGTCATTGGGATGATGTATGCAATTATCCAATACAAGGCATGCTCCATAAAGTGACTGCTGCATTGTTGCGTATGCAGAGAAACAGTGCATTGACTTTAACAGCTGTAAAAAGTTGGCTTGTACTGTCGTCGGAGGAACTGATAGTCATCTGTTCCCTCTGCCATTTCTTTGACTGAACATGTCGGAACTTGTGCCAGACATGTGACTTGTTGTTCTTGAGCACTTTTGAAAATGTGTAACATATTCCCTATCTGGTTCTTATGTGAAATTTGTTAGATCGTCAAAATATAAAAACGCACATAACTCATCACTTATATTGAGGTTCTCGAAGATCATTCCAACTCAACAAGGATGTGCCTGCTGTTCTCTTGGTAAAATTGTTTCCACCTTCCCTATTTGTTTCAATTTGTTTTTACTTGTCATTCAATTGATGATCATTCGCTTTGTAGGTGCCTTAGACTACTGTTGCACAAATACCATACATAGTACAGAGGTGTAAGATCTATTTTATTGACTATCCAAACAACTTACTCGAATGACAAGAATTACGCGATGCGATTCATCGGAACTTGCTGACTGTAATACGATGGTATATTAATAACTAATGCACTAATCTTTTAATGTTTTACGGGTACTAGAGATGCGATTCAGCCCCCTTTTTTTTAAGGGTATTAGCACGAGAGATGTACAATGTACTTATGTCATCTTTTGTGCTTATTGAATGTCCTATTATGCATATAGAAAACTTTTAGTTTGGTTATCATCTTTTATATCAATTTAGATCAGTTTTTAATATCATGATATTTTAATCCACTTGATGCTGGAATCAGAGGCGGATGTAGCGTGTCAATGACGGGTTCAATTGAACCATAACTTTAGACGAGGAGTAAAAATTAAATTATACGTAAAAATTCATTAAAAATTACAAAATTATAGATATGAACCTATAAATTTAAAAATATAATAAGTTCAATGCTAAAATCTTAAAAGTTGAAGCAATAGAAATTAAATTCGAGATCCGCCTCTAATTAGAATAATGAAGGCTTACTTCTTTCCTTGATTCTAATTTACTGTTGTTTGCACTTAAGAATGTCCAAACAATGACTTTACAATTTACTCTTAAGTAATTCCACAGTGAATGTGAATGGCCATATATATTAAGCATGGACTCTCTCTACAAGTATATATATAGATGTAGCTAACCTCATCATAAGTCATAAGAAGAGAAGCCGAATAAGGACACATACGATGATGACCTACACATACGAATTACGATGATAACCTTTTTAGTGTCTGCGGGAAAATTTAGTTCCAGTAACTAAACCAAAGAATCACAAGGCTAAAGTCCAACGTAATGAAGCTACACGGTAATAAGCTTTACATTCCGGTATCTCTATTTTATGCAAGTACTAGTTGGATTACTATAGGCAATTTCAAACGTTAAGTACTTAAGATGATCTTTTGATAGTTAAACACAACTAATAGGAAGGAGGGTGTAGTTATACTTACCAATAGTCACATTGAGCAGAATTTATAGTACTAACATAAATCTATCCTTTAAGGTATGTCACTAATAAATTGTTGAGACTTTGAGAGGATGAATGCTGGTGAGGGGAGGAAAACATACTCCACCAGTATCAGATTGAAAAGTAATTTGACTGGGCAAGTAAACTTTCTCAAACCAGTGGCACACCCTGTTAGTAATAGAAAGAAAAAGGAAAAACCAGGGAACAACGACAACACCAACAACAAACTCAGTATATTCTCACAAGTGGAGTTTGGGGAGGATAGTGCAGACGCAGACCTTACCCCTTCCTAATGAAAGTAGAGAGGTTGTTTCTAATAGACCCTCAGCTTAGAAAAGCGAGAAGAGGAAGAAGGGGAAGAAGACGAGGGGAACAAAAAAAAAAGAAAAAAAAAATAATAATAAATAATAATAATAATATTTATAATAAATTAAAGGGAGCGAGGGGAATTAGTAGTACTAAACACTAAAAACAAGGAATACGATAGCAGAGGCGAACTAAATCACATGACGAAGTAACGAAGCTACTTAAGCATATACAACACTCAAGGGTCATGTGCTGCCAAAGAAACTGGTAGGAAAAGGAGAAACTTACAACTAGTCAACTACCTACTACCCTTCTACTGTAATCCTCGACCTCCATAGCTTCCTATCAAGGGTCATGTCCTCTGTAAGCTGAAGCCGCGACATATCATATCTAATCACCTCTCCCTAATACTTCCTTGGCCTACCTCGACCTCTTCTCAACCCCGCCATGGTCAGCCTCTCACACCTCCTGACAGGAGCATCAATGCCTTCTCCTCTTTATATGCCGAACCATCTCAACCTCGACTCCCATATCCAGGGAATAGCGACAAAAGAAATATTCAAGATAATAAATTTAATAATGGGTAGTAAGTTGAGGAATGTCCAATCTAGCTATTCATGCCTCTTGGCTGCTGTTATTTCTATGCTTTATAAGTATCCTTTTCAAAATTAGGTTAGGAGAATTCAAAGGGATAATAAATTTTCGCATCACATGATGTGTCTCTTAAGGAGTGCAAAGATGATCATGTAGCTCTACCAGCAAAAAAATATTACGGCAAAACTGTGGGAATACAGATGTAACAGACCAAAATTTGAATTTTAAACAGCAGTTCATATTAGTCAGCAGCCACTCTAATGTATTCCTTGATGCTAAGAACGCGGAGCGATTTGACGTCGATATCAGTACGATATAATGCAATTTGATGCTTAAAGGAAATGTACATTCAGAATAAGAATCTTAGATGTAAAAGATCCTTAAAGCCCCATGTATCATGGAAACTCGTAATGTATTCCTTGATGCTAAGAACACGGAGCAATTTGACGTCGATATCAGTACGATATAATGCAATTTGATGCTTAAAAGAAATGTACATTCAGAATAAGAATCTTAAATGTAAAAGATCCTTAAAGCCCCATGTATCTGAAGTCCATGCAGCTACTCCCATAGATAATCAACTAAATCGGACAACATAAGAACAGGGTAAAAACCATATATTATTGTTTTACGTTGTACTAAAGACACAAAGCACCAGCTCATTTCGTAAAAGATGCTGAATAAATGACATCTTTACAAACAGAATATTGACAAACAATTACCTTGTTGAGATTAAGATTGAGAGTCCAAGAATGAATGAGTTTGTAGGAATATGATTTCACAAGTTAATTACAAATCTATGTACATTAGCAGAGTAAGACAAAAAGAAAGGTAAATTATTTTTTCCTATCTTAGAAGCCAGTTAAATTTGACTGATCAGTTGTGCATATTTACTATGTCCAGAGTAATGCAATCCTAGACAGGTGAAACGACGACCAACATCTCAGGAGCATACTTCTTCTTAGCGACGGGTAGTATTGCTGAGAACAGTAGAGCAAACACAAAACAGAAGTTGAAATTGTTAAAGACATTCCTCAAATAAAGCGATGGCCCTTCAGTACAGTAGAAATGACTTTCACCACCCTCTAAAAACATTGTACACAAGCAAGTTGGTAACAAAGGATGTCCACCGCTTATAGTAGCAGCAGTCAACAAGAAGTGAGATTACTTGGAACAATTTGTACAAGAAGTCGAGTCATCAGGCAGCACATATATGTCTTCCAGCAAGGGGAAAAAGCATGCCAGCAGCACTAAAACGGGCAAAGCTAATAGGTTAAGAGGAATTTTGAAATTTCACAATTTCAGAAGGTGCAAGTCTCAGCATACCTGGATGAGCTGATTTCGATGATTATCCAGCTGCAACAAGGTAACTTACTGTTTAGATTTTTATTTCCAAAAATCGAGAAAGTCTTAGCATTAATAAAGAAGTTAAATCAGGAATGAGTAACCTGGATATTGATTTAGTACTCTATGTCATCAATATATTCCTGCAACTGGATAAAGAAACGCCAGTATCACTATTTAGTTCCAAATGAATTCATTATTTCATCTTTTTGTATCTTTATTGGCAGCAAGTTCCTGCATGCTCTATGCATTTTCTTACTGTTATCAACTTGTTCGTCGTGTTTTCAATTTGCACAAAGTAAGCCTGCAGAAGTATGCAGTTTTTCAGCACATGTATGTCGTGATTATTTCCAAAAGTTCTGCTAAACTAACTTCAAGCAACATCTCAACTTCAAACGACTCATCTCCTCAAGTGAAACAGAAAACATGACCCTTTCATTTGATAAAAGCAAATGCTCTTCATCCCCATCTACATATTTCACCTGCATTGGACTCAAAACTTGTTTCATCCACTTACCCGTCAAAAGATCAAACAAAATTTTGTACGAAAAGGAGCCAGAAAATCAATTACATGATGCCGTCCAGTCTCAGGGTTGTACCCAATTGCACGACCAGAGTACCAAACAGCATCTACTGGCCAATTCACCTATCAACAAAGACTTTACAACTAGTCTCTTAAACTGATAATAACAAAAGTACACAACACGTTCTAATCATTCTAAGTTTGATCAATTCATACCTTACATTGTTGTCCAGTAAATTTCTTGGGATCAACTCCTTCAAAACTCAACCTGCAAACCGCACAAATCCAAACACTTTCATACATGATAACACATACATACGAAGCATAAAATTGAACAAGGGAAAAAAAGTACCAAACCCGTTGCTTGGTGCGAATGGACCCTGAGCTTTTGCTACTCAAGTGATTCTCCAAAACAGAATTTTCTTTTCGCTTCTTAATGTTGTTACCCCCAAAGTTAGAATCTTCACAATCATTATTACTGTGATTGGTATCAATTTTATTTCTACAAGCGCTATTTCAGGTTTCTCTCAAACAAAACTCATTCAACATAACATTATCATCCACTCCCAAATTTGCCAGCTTCGAACTACCCACCTTCCTCTACTTCTCCTTCTTCTTAGTATTATGCTTCACAACCACCACTTCATCATCTTCTCCCTCATTGTCCCTCTCACTCTTGACACCCATATTCACTACTTCTAAATTCCCCACCTTCCTCTTCTCCCTTGTTCTTTATAACCATTTTGTCTTCTTCGCCCTCAGTTTCCCCCTGGTCTTCTCTATTGTCATTCAAAAAATTGGCTAATTTCTGCTTCTCCTTATTCATTATAATCATTTCCTCATCTTCGCTCTTGTCTTGTCTGTCCCCGTTCAATAAATTGGCTAATTTCGCTGACCGAGAAGCTAGTGTTGAATTAAACAGTAAGTTTTTTTCAGAGGCTCCTAGTGTTTTAACAGGAGGCAGCGAGAGAGGAACACATGGAGGGAGCGAGAGCGGAACACATAGATATCAGAAAAGTCCCAAGCAAGCGTGTTGATGAAACAGGCTGGTCAAGTGTGGCTTCTAATATAAGAAAATTCTTAATAACCATTGTCTTCTTCGCCCTCAGTTTCTCCCTGGTCTTCTCTATTGTCATTCAAAGCAAAACAACACCATCCGTAGAAAGCAGACGTAGATGATACAGAATACTGGAATATCAGAAGCTAAACAACACCATCCGTAGAAAGCAGACGTAGATGATTCAGAATACTGGAATATCAGCAGCAAAACAACGAAAGGCAGACAAAGATTAAAAGCGAAAACCCTTTCAAATAAGAACAAAAGAGTGAGGAGGTTGCGGGAGATCAATTTGAGAAACGGTAGGACTTAGTTCTGGTGAAATACCAATGAGTTCTCCATTAAATGTTACTTTATTATTTTACCCTTACAAACTTGTGATTCATTCAGACCTATCAAAAAAAATATAACTTGTGTTCATTCGGGAGAAGCGATATGAAAACCAATCACTTACATGAGGTAAATAATATTGTGACTTCTTTTATTTCAAAAGAAATTTATGCAGAGCAAGAATGTGCAACAATAAACAAAAGAATGCTTCTACATGATATCTTATCTATTTTAAATAAGAAAATCCTCATACTGTTGATTGTGAGGGCAATTGAAAGGTCTGATTTTATCTCCAAAATTGACAAAGCAAGAAAAAATCAAAAGCAAAATTTACACTACCTATCATTCTCCTTTAGTGTCCAAACTCTGCCAACAAATAACACCAAACCTATATCTTTCTTTAGCAATACATCGAAAACCAAAGGATAACATTTCTTCCATTCATAATACAGTAAACCAGCGGACGATGGTTAAAGAACACACCTACTGACATGGAAGAAGCACTCTATTTCCCCTTTTCAGCCACCGATAACACCACAACCTTCCAATGATCAAATTTGAACCCAACCAAACATAAATAGACACACTTCAAAGGAAAAATGACAAGAGAAGAGAAAAATGAGAAGAGATAGAGCATTAGTAAGATTACCTAGGGATTTCGAAATAGCCTCTGTCTGTGTAAAAATTAACCTACGTGTAACTTTATACAACTTTGCAGGAGGGAGCGAGAGCGGAACACATGGAGGGAGCGAGAGCAGAACACATAGATATCAGAAAAGTCCCAAGCAGGCGTGTCGATGAAACAGGCTGGTCAAGTGTGGCTTCTAATATAAGAGAACTAGATGATATTGCCCATGCGGACATGGGCCCAACAATTTTCACTTTAATATGCTTAGAAGGAAAAAGTGTTGCTCCCAAATTATTCAGAAATCTTAACCAAAGTGCAAACATATAATATTATATAACAGAAACTATGTATCAACCAAAAAATCACAAATGTTTTAACTGTATATACAACTACTGGTACTCCAATAATATTTTCTTCTTCCAGTGCTCGTCCTTCAACACAACACAAGACTTGACTCAATATTGCTATCATCCTTTGCTGAGGTGAAGTGGAGACCGAATTTCAGCAGCAAAAAAAGCTAGATCACCACCCAAATTGTTTCTTTATACTTCGACAATGTAGTGTTGCTGGTGGTAAGGGTGCAAAGCGCTCAGTCCTGTAATATGGCTCTTATTACAATAAAATTTTCAGTAAAAGTTCTATCAAAATATAACACATATTTTTCTTACTTTGGTTGGGGTAAGGAGTTTATTTTCTTTTCCTCCCAGTAATTCTCTCTTATTATATTTTACTGGCAAATTCTTTGCATGGCTTCACCTGCTCAGTAATTTCAGAGCATTCCCTGTAGTTTTTGTCAACCTCTCAAATCCTTGTTAGTCGTGAAGGCAGCCCTAATAAGAGACGATAAATTTAAGAATATCAAGAGGCAAATAAGTGATAAGAGTCTCCACATAAATGATTATGCCCATCCCCAACTGATCTCTTTTATCCTGACAAAGTCCCAGTTTTAATATACAACAAAATCTCACGTAGAAATGTTCAACAACTTACCAACAACCCCAACAGATTGCACTCATGAAAGTACCGAAGTATCATGTAATTAAGATAAATTATGTTAAAATAAGCTGTGGTGTATCTAGTACTTTGATGTGACTAATGTCGAAAAGCACAGCAAAAATTGTATCTCAATGTTAATAAAATCTGAAGAGGTAAGGCACAATAAAAAATATTATCAATACCTTAAACAATAGGTAATATGAAAGTCCTTTTCTAAAGTTTAAAATCTATTGGGGTAGAAATTAAGCAAAAGATGCTCCAAGTATAATGAAAAACTCTACAAAGTGAATTCAATATCAGAATAAACCACTAAATACCTCGACTACCATAGTTTTATGTGTAGACTCGTCTTAATAACTCAGAAAAATGAGCAACTAGAATAGTTTCTTCTTGGGATTGAACTATATCTCCAACTTTCTTCTACCATTTCTCTTGTTCTTCTATTATAAGGCGTCAACAAATTTCACTATGACTTCATTCTCAAGATCAGTTGTAAGGCGTCAACAAATTTCCCTATAACTTCATTCTCAAGATCACTTAGTTCAACAACTATGTGCAATGTGCCCCTTCTTTTACTCCTGTTAAAGATTTTTCCAGAACACGGGCATCGCCTTACACCAAAATATTAAATTAGTTTCTACCATTTTCAATGTTGAAAATGAGACCAATGTAAATCCACCGGCTAGCTAAAAATCACTTAATTATAAAAAATTTACAACCTTCTACAACAATAGTAGAAAATCAACCATGAGATAACAATTGTCTATTGCGTAAGCTGTTCAAACTCAGAAACAAAGGCGCATGAAACTCAAGTACCAGAGCAGGGAAAAATATCAACAGGAGCATCAGATCTGCAATACCTTTTTCAAGTCAACTAATATCGAAGAACTTACACTTCTTCATGTGACTGAAGCTCCTAGTTAGTAGGCAAAGTCCCTTCACTTCAAAACAATCAATGCAGATTCTGGAGTGACGCCATCTGTGTTTCTTTTGACTATATTGAAAGTGAAAGTTCAAGCTTTGAAGCTAATCTTCAAGCGGTCCTTTCAATTTTCCATAAGACTGCACTGTCGAGCCATAAGCGCCCTCAACCTAGTAATTTCAACATAGAGCATGAATATATGTGGTAAATTAGTAAACTATGAGCATATATTAAATTTTGAACTCACAATTTCAAAAGTTGGCAGGAAAATACTTCCAACAGTATTACCAGCATATGCAATCTAGGATATACTTGTAATTCCCTGTTTTTTAAGGGCAAATACATCATCAGCTCCTCAAACGAGTTTCAATATTTCATCTAGCAACCTAAAACCTATGACCTTTTAAAAACTTGACCTCTACGGAACATAGTGTGCGCACTACCTTGCTAACATGTAATATAAAGTCGGCACTATCTTGCAGTAAAATTGACATCTACTCTAAAGTGTAGACAGTAACAGAAGCTTAGAAACCTAGAAAACAGAGAAAAACAAAATGTTTCAGAAGTGTCAGAAGTTCTTACCTTGTGTAGAGGCATCTCCCAGCAAAGGACCGCTCAAGGAAGACAAAGAGAAAGAGAAAAAGATATCATAAAGTAATATCATGACTCAGATATCATAAAGTAATATCAAATATTCAGCCATCACATGTTGGATGGTATTTAGTTTTCTATTATCCAATATGGTAGAATTCAAAAAAATTCAAGAAAAAAGGATGAAGAAATAACCGTATTTCAAAAATACTCATTCAGTCATTTAAGAAGTTCTTACTGGCACCAGTTGTATGGTAGGCTGGCTGTTCTATTTTTCTGCAATCATGTTGTTCGCAAGTAAACAAGACAAATAACTTTTACACAAAGTTAAAGAATTGAGCAACTGATAATTAAATACATTGAGACAGCAATGTAAAAGGAAGTGGAAGAATAAGTAGATGGTCAAATCTATGATATCGAATAAGATCATATAAGCATTAAGATCTAGTAATATAATGGAAAACCCTTAAAAGTCCATTCTCAACTTGAGGTAAGTAAAAGTCCATTCTCAACCTCATTGACTATTTGACAACAAACAAACAAATGTGAATAGTTGTAACCATATCAGAAATCAAGCAAAATAAACACGAGTAAAAGGACAAAATAGAGCAGAAATTCATCCAATTTGGAGATAGTGAAAGACTTACATGGACTTCTTTGGATAATTTCATCATAAACAATATTATATGTCGAATGGTCATCGTGGTTGGCTGGTTGACTAGTGTGGACGGACGAATTGGCACTTTCACGGAGTTTGAACTCTTTGCTCTTGACAAAGCAAATCAGTTATTTTAATGACCTCCAATAATTAATTCAGTGAATAGAAAACACTTCGATGAAGCTCAATACTAATTTAAGTTCAAGAACTCAAATCACCCGATGGGACAAAAACATAACCAAAATAAAGATACAAATTACAAGCTACAGAAGCACTATTGGTCCATGTAGCAGATACATGGTTAAAAGATGGATTGTAACTTTTAGTAACTTATCAGATTCTAAATATATTCTATGCTACATAAACAGTTTGCCTTGGCAAAATAGAGCCAGTAATTACATCAAGTATAGCCAGACTTCAAATTCATCGTCATGCAAAGTGTCTATTCTGATGAATTCCAAGAGAATCAAAATCTTCTAATCAACAACTGGTTGGATGGGAATTGTCCACTCTCTATAGAAAAACTTATTCATTTATTGCGCGGAGGAGAAACTCATGGCAAGATGGAGTTTTACGGGGGTATAAAGATCAAATACAATTGAGTAACGAGCACGTAAATGCAGCATGCTTGCCTATAAACACCCTTTTTTCAAATCAAACAAGGAGATACCTGATCTTTCACTTTCTGCAAAATAATCAGGTAAATCGTAGTTGAAAGGCATGGAACCAAAAAAACCCAAATAAAAACAGGAATACACAGCAACATGCATTAATTGCAGCATATAAGAAGTGACAAAATTGAAGAAAACACCGTTCCATCGATCTCGCAGATTGGAAGCTAATATGGTATAAGAATCACTCATTTTATTCGACAAACTTGAAGAAACAAAACTAAACTATGCGGGAAATGTAACTTTTGGAGTTTCCACTCTTAATCTGTTGTGACCAATATGACTGACATGGATGACACGTCAAGCCAACGTGGACACGGTGAGTCACCAGGAGGTTGATGGCGTGAGAAGGAGCCAGGGCGTGAAGATTCCGTCTAAAAGGCTAACTGATTTCACTGTGGGAGTTGCGGGAAAATAGCGTGGTACTATAGACGATTCCTCGGCCTAGCCGGGTACTATAGACGTTTCATCCACCATTATACTGCAATTGCTGGACCTCTTACTAATCTCCTACGCAAGGATTCTTTTCACTGGTCACCTACAGCTCAAGTAGCGTTTGAGACTCTCAAAAGTAAGCTTGGTTCTACACCGGTGTTGGCATTACCAGACTTCACTCAAGAGTTTCAACTTGAGACTGATGCTTCCGGCTTGGGGATTGGGGCTGTACTTTCACAAAAGGGACATCCAGTAGCATATTTCAGTCAGAAGTTTAGTATTAGGATGCAGGGTGCATCCACCTACCACCGGGAAATGTTCGCCATCACTCAGGCAGTGAGCAAATGGCGTACATACTTGCTTGGGCGAAAATTCACAATTTATACTGACCAGCAGTCCCTCCGAAGTTTGACAAACCAGACTATTCAGACTCACTCCGGAACAACAAAAGTGGCTCAGTAAGTTAGTTGGATTTGATTTCCAAATTATTTACAGACCGGGAAAATTGAACCAAGCTGCCGACGCCCTCTCCCGCACTTGTGACGCTAGTTTCCTCACCATCACAGTGAGAGGTTATGATTTAAAGTGTGAACTCATGGACTTGAATCAAACTCACCCCGAGTTATTAGCTCTACAACAGTCCTTACAAGACCCAAATTCCTCTGACTCGGGATTCCAATTCCGAAATGGCCTTCTATTCTTTCGTGGGCGATTAGTTATTCCTACTGATTCCCCACTATGACACAAGTTACTTCACGAGTTTCATGATACCTCAATTGGTGGTCATGCAGGTGTTGCTCGTACTTACGATCGGATGGCCTCCAATTTCTATTGGAAAGGAATGAAGAAAGATGTGCACCATTTTGTGTCCGCTTGTCAGATATGCCAACAAATGAAGGATTCTAATCATCTTCCATCAGGGTTACTCCAACCTCTGCCTATTCCCTCACTGGTGTTTGAAGATATCGCGATGGATTTCATCACTTGTTTGCCTAGCTCGAAGGGAAAGTCAACAATCATGACGATGGTGGATAAGCTTTCCAAGTATGGGCACTTCATTGCCCTTCCTTCTACTTTCTCTGCTCAATCGGTTGCTGAAGCATTTGTGGTGGGCATCATTCGTCTTCATGGGCCACCGAGGTCTATTGCGTCTGACCGGGACCCTCGTTTCTTGCACATCTTTTGGCGAAAGTCAAACAAGCTACAAGGCACTATTCTGACCATGAGCACAGCATATCATCCACAAACGGATGGCCAATCCGAAGCGTTAAATAAATGTGTGGAACAGTACCTCCGATGCTTTGTGGCTGATACACCCACTAAATGGGTGGCCATGTTACCATGGGCTGAATACTGGTACAATACCTCCTACCAGTCCTCTGCAGGCATGACGCCCTTTAAGGCATTGTATGGAAGAGATCCACCTACTGTTGCGCGCTATGTTCTGGGCAGCAGTCCGAGTAACTTAATTGAAGCATATATGGTAGATAGAGATGAAATTCTTTCTCTCCTCAAAGGTAATCTGAACCATGCTCAGGATCGTATGAAGAAGGTTGCCGATAAGCGACGACGAGAGGTGATTTTTCAGGTGGGTGAGTGGGTGTTCGTGAAGCTTAAACCGTATCGACAACACACTGTCCGCCTTCAACAGCACCCAAAGCTTGGTAGACGATACTTTGGGCCCTTCAAAATTCTGAAACGTGTCGGGGAGGTTGCCTACAAATTAGAACTACCTGATGATGCACCCATTCATCCAGTGTTCCGTGTCTCACTACTCAAGCGCTGTGTTGGTGAGCCAAATCAGCAGATCAATCCGGAGCAGTTCACCGGACTGTCTGATCCTGTTCTGCAGCAATCTCTGAACCATGAGGACATGGTTCTTTCAGAGGGGAAAGGTATTGTTGTGACCAATATGACTGACATGGATGACACGTCACAAGCCAACGTGGACACGGTGACTCAGCAGGAGGTTGAAGGCGTGAGAAGGAGCCAGCGCGTGAAGATTCCGTCTAAAAGGCTAACTGATTTCATTGTGGGAGTTGCGGGAAAATAGCGTGGTGCAGAGCATGAGAGCTGGGGACACATGTGGATACATGATAGTATAAGTAGCTAATAACAGACTAGTGGAGTAGGCTATTTTTGTTGCATAAGTTCTGGTTCCCTCATCTATCAATTCTCTGTATTCTCTCCTCACCTCTTCTCTGCTTTTCCTTACTTTACTATTCCATTGCTTCAGCGTAATCCGTCTGGTTGAGCTAAACAGTTGTTTGGGTTTGTTAATTGATTGCTTCATAATCACAGAGCAAATAAAGTCAACCAAACTAATACCGGAGAAAGAAAATAACAGCAATTTAGATTACAAATTTAGACCTTTCTTGAATAATAACCGAAAAAATAAAATAAAACAAACAGAAAGGCCAATGCGCAGTGCAAACTAACCAGTTCACAGTTGTAGTGAAGAAGAACCCAACCAAAGAATTTGTCAATCTATCAATTTCTCTATTTCAGCAAGAGACACATCGCACTACAGAGATAGGTAGATATGAAAGAGCAGAAGATTAGAAGAAGACAAAAAAAGAAAAAATCAACGAATTGCTCATTAGAAATACAAAAGTCATTGGAAACACTCTCAAACAAGATTGGCTCGGCTTCTGCCAGAGCAGTTTTTAAGAAGTATGCCTCTTTTTCTTTGTCTTTGCCTTCAACTTATCACATAGGAAAGCTTTCTCTAATTGCGCCACCCTCTTCGCCAGCGAATTCAGCATCAGCGTTTGCATTTCGTTTCTCTGGCACATCTCATTCATCATTCTCATCATCTTCTCATTCTCTTCCACCATTTTCTCCATCAACTCTCTGTTTTTTATACTATCATTTTCCCCATGTAAACCTGCTGTATTCTCCTCCTCATCAATTCCTTCAATCACATCTCCTACTTCGCCTCTTTCCACACTTACCTCCGGCAACTCATCAAACTTCTCTGCATCGCATTCGCCCTCTACTTGTGTTTCCTCATCTTTCTTCCTACAGCTCAATGCTGCTTGATTTTCTGCTTCCACACTCTGCTCCAATAGATCAGAAACTTCACTCTGACATGTCGATTTTTCATTTTCGTCCTGATTTCCTGTGGAATGGGAGATGTCTTCGGTCTGATTGACCAGTCTAGGGACTTCATCGGAATCGTTGTATTTATTCTCCTCTTCGACTGCAATTTGATTACCTGCGGAAACAATAAAGTCAATTTTCTCTTGCAAACAGATTACCTTTTTAATCACAGCCTTTCTGCAGTCCCTAACACCGGAATCAACTCCACGAACGGAATCCAATTTCAAAAGCAGAGACATCAGCGTCTCATTCACCCGCAACCTCTCCCTTTCATCTCTCCAAATCAACTCCGCCATTTCGCCGCACAAAATCTTGCGCTCAATTTCGTCCACCTCTTTTCGTATTGACATAATTTTCTTCACGCTTTTTCTCACTAAAAACCCTCTGAATACCTTCTGAATCCTTAATACGGACTGGTCCGGCTTAGGTTTCTGAGTCTTCAAGGATGAAACGGATCGCTCAGGATCCGAACCAACGAAGTGGACCGGAATCTCAACAACCGGCTTAATACCGATAGCATTTTGATGTATCGGCCGCACGGGTATTCCTCTCATGTTTGAGGAATAGCGAGGGCGAGTCGGCTGGGACCAATAGCTTCCGTAGAATGGGCTTTCCATTTGTTAACTTTGTTGATATTCTTTTGATAGCTAAAGAGATTAGTAGTGTTTCACGATGAGAGAAGCGGTGAGGTTTTCTGATATTTATGTGTTTGCAGGGAAACTGAATTGAATGTTCCAGAAGTTTCAGGAGTTCTTAGAAGGCACAGAAATATCTTAGCTTTCGCGGGAGTATGTAGAATGTTCCTCAAACTGTTGGACCGCAATCAACTCTAAGCTTTGAAAAAGCCATACAGTACTTAGCGGGCGCTTGTACTTTGTACATAAAAATTGTAAAATTTCAACGTGAAAAAAACAAATTCAAAGTGATATTTGAAAATTAAAGTTGTACTTAGACGTAAATATTATTTTGGATTGTTTTTGAATTTTTGTGAAGGATTTGAAGTGAAAAATTTTTAAAAAAAAGCTTTTTGGTTTGAAAAATTCTATATTCATCTTCAGATGAAAAATCGAAAATCTTATGGTCAAACACTAATTTAAAAAAAAGGGAAAAAAATTGAAAAAAAAAACCTTGTTTAATAGCCAAAAGGGCCCTTAGTATATATAAACTAGTGAATTTATCGCGGTGCAATGATAAAATTAAAATGGTCTATTATAAATTAAATAGAGATAGAAAATAAAATATTTACTAACAATATGGTCCAATTGGAAAAAAAACGTACAATAAGTTGACGCTATAGAAATTGATCAAAAGGAAATCTAATTATCTTTTTGGATTGAGGACCTAGGAAAACTAACAGCTTGTTTGGTTGGTTGTTACATATTGTTTCATAACGTATTGTATCGTATTGTATTGTATTGGACTGTATCGTTTGTTGAAAACAATGTTTGGATAGACTGTGTCGTTTGCCGTCGTTTCGTGATATCGCGCACTAGCAATATGAAGAATAAACTTATAATATTATAAATAACAAATTAGAAGAAATTACACTCTATGTCACTTGGCCCACTATCCTAACAAAATACGGTCCATATTTTCCCTTCTTACCCGGTATGGCCCAGTTCTATAATGTTGAAATTTTTTTTTCACTGATTAGCCCTCGCCGCCCACACTCTTTTTCAGACTTTCTCCCCACCCCACTTTCTCTTTCATTTTTAATCTCTTGCTCTTTCTCTGACTCTTTCTCTCTCTCTGGCAAAATAGTCGAATTCTTCTTCAGATTTCCTTGCTCCGTTCATTATCTTCCTCTTCCACAAAATAATTTTGTTGAACAATCCACACCGGATCTATCTTTTGTAGTCTTTTTCTTTTCTTTGAACTGGAGTTAGCAGCCAGTGGTTTGGGATGTTTTTCAGCTTCACTTGAGTCCAACCAACTGAGAGGATTGCGATTATAGACGGGCCAGTTGGGGATGGTGACAAGGGCAGTAAAGACATAGTCTGAAATGATCCCAACGCATAGCCTTTCTTCTTCTTCTTCTCACTTTAAATAACTTCTGAAGGGAGGAAGAATGATGTATATGTTGTATATACATATATATACTTTGTATAATCATGTATAACCATGTAAATTTGTGGGTATTCTCATAGTTATACAGAATTATACATGATTATACACAATTATACAAGATTATACATAATTATACATGATTATATTTGTGTGTATAACAATGTATATAAGGTGTTTAATAATGTAAATTTTTATTTTTTCCAGTGAAATAAGAATTTCCCTTGCAAAACTTTAAATTTTACAAAAAAAAATATAAAAATAAAATTATAGACTCTAAGGATGAATATATTTTTATTTTTTACTTCAACTTGCTGATATTGTTTACTATACAGAGGGAAGTAAAAAATAAATAAGAATGAAAATGGAAAAAGGGTAAAGATAAAAATGAAAGAAAAAAGTGAAATCTGATTTAGGCGTGATTTTGGGTGTAGTTGATGAAGTTGTGGGTTAGGCGCTGAAATTATTTGTGGGCTACCGCATGAAAACTGTATTTGTGGGTTAGGCGGCTGAAAAGTATTTTCCCCAAGTGTACTTATGTGAAATTATCCTTAAAAATTATGATACGGGGTAAAATTACTATATAAAAAAATAGGATAAATAATAAAATAAAATTATTTACTAATAATGAACGGTGAGATTGAGAGAAAAAGACAAGGTAACTGTCAAAGTTGAGAACTAATGGAGAGACATTTGAGTTGAAGCTCAACTGCCATGGCTGAGGGCATGAAGTTCAGAGAAGACGAAGAAGCTTCGAGAGAATTTCAGATTGGGGAAACATTTCTCATTAGCTAGAAATCAGAAAAATTAGTGCGTCTATATGCAAGACATTGTATTTGTACAGTTGTCATCTACCACTAACCGCCTAAACTACCAATCACTAATACCGTGACGTCAATTAACATCCTGGATAACTAATTGCAATAGCCATAGCCAATTCCAACAGTTAACAAATGTGGCTACTAGTTGTCGCGCCCCCTTTTTTTCGGAAAATCGGGTTTCGGCATTTCCGGGACAACTCATTTCCTTTTGGGACGGGGTAAGGGATTTGAAGAGTCGCCACCTAACGGATTAAGGTGCGTTAGGGCACCTAAAGCAATTGACTCATATAACCAGTTTATATCACTAGAGATCGAGTAAGGGCTCGAAATTACCTTGAGGGGAAGGTTTAGGTACCCCTCGAGGTCCACAACAGTGGGTCCCGGACGAACTTGTATTAAGCAAATTAGTCTTATGAAACAATTGAGACAAATAGATATTACTTTAAAACAGGAATCAAAGGGGTCCTAGGTTATTTTCAGCCTATAGGATCATTTCCATGCAATACTTGGTAACTTTCCCCAAGTTGGGGTGCCACACATAGCATTAGCGCACGGGTCATCATTTCCTTTACTACCCAATTACTATCTTTCAGTTGTTACCTAAGCGTTCTAGTAGCTTCTAACTCGTGCCTTATGCGTGCACTACCCGTCCCCTTTCCTATGGTCCTAGAGGTATTTAAGACCTCTATTTAAGGTGGTTCTAGACTGACCTAAATTGCTTAGATGATGAAAAACTAGGCGACAAACAAAATTCAAATAGGACTATCATATAAGGAGCAAATAAAGGCTCATGTTAACATCCACAAATCGACAATAAATGCACGCAATTAAACAGATAACTTTATTGATTTAGGATCCCATAGGCGGGATATCTAGATGAGCAGAAAAAGAATATAAGAAAGCAGATTATTAAAACGAGCATTGGGACCTACGGGCTTGCCTTTTGATTTGATTAAGTTTTGAATCTGGGCATGTTTCAAGCAGCACGAGATCATAGTTTTTGGCCCAGGATTCTTAATAGACCTACAGGTTTGCCTACTGATAACCAGAACAGAATCCTATAGGCATGATGTCTAAAGGCTGATTAAAGACCTATAACATGATTTCTAAGCGAATTACTGATTTTTAACTCATGAAAACAGATTTTATCTCTTTAGATCCTATAGGCATGCTTTCTAATTCGCAGAATTAATTAACCCCTATAGACATGGTTTCTAGGTGTCGAAACTGATCTGTTTATCTCCTATAGGCGTGGTATCTACGTTGAAACTGATTTTTACCTCCTATAGGCATGATATCTAAGTTGAAACTGATTTCACTTCCTATAGGCATGATATCTATTAATCATACGTGGGCAGAATTTTAACCAACTTGCCAGAAAGGTTATTATTCAAGTACCTGAGCACATGCATAGCAGCTTTGAGATGAGAATCTCGAGGACTTTGCATGTATTGACTGAGATGTTGAACACTATAAGCAATATCAAGTCGTGTGTTGGTGAGGAGGTTCAGCTTCCCCACTAATTTCCTGTATTGAGTGGGATCTGTGAGCAAATTCCCCTCAATTGCCTTTAACTTTGTTGAAGGATCAAGTGGAGAGGACATTGGAGTACAATGTGAACATTCAAACTCCTTTATCAGATCCCTTGTAAACTTTCTTTGTGTGATTATTACTCCATCATGTTTGTACAGTATCTCCAAACCTAGGAAGTAATGTAATCTCCCTAGGTCCTTTATCTTAAAAGTCTCGTGTAGAAAGGTCTTCAATGCCTTAATTTCTTCCAAATTTGTCCCTGTCAAAAGAACATCATCTACATAAACTGCTACAAAGATCACTGAGTTGCCTACCCTTTTGTAAAACAAAGAAAAATCTAGCATGGAGTACACATATCCTTTGGAACATAAGGCCTCAGTTAACTTAGCATACCACTGCCTACTTTCCTGCTTCAATCCATACAAAGATTTATTCAGCTTGCACACCAAATTCTATTTTCCTACTGATAGCCCTGGTGGCACTTGCATATATACTTCTTCATTTAGGTCTCTATGTAGGAAAGCATTGTTTACATCAGGCTGAAAAATCTCCCAGTTCTTCTTTGTTGCTATGCTAACCAATGCTCTGACAGTAGTCATCTTCACAACTGGTGAGGAAGTCTCAGTATAATCTATTCTTGCCCGCTGAGTATAGCCCTTAACAACTAGCCTATCTTTAAATCTTTCAACACTTCTATCTGCCTTATGCTTAATTTTATATACCCACTTACAACATATTGCCTTCTTCCCTGCAGGTAGTGGAATAAGATCCCAGGTATGATTAGAGTAAAGTGCATCAAATTCTTGGTTCACGGCCTGTTGCCAAGCAGGTATGGCTGCTGCCTCCTCATATGACTCAGGATCACAGTCAGTATAAAGGTTTTCAATTAAATGCTGACTATCATTACTTAGTGCATTAAGGGATATAGGCTGTAAATGGGGAACAGGTGTGTGAAAAGAAAAAGAGGGTGAATTGTGAGCATCATCTGCAACATGCTTCCCACCATTAGTATTAAGAGTAGTTGCATTGAAAATGTAATCCTTCATATAACTAGGAGGTTTAAGTGTTCTTTGAGGTCTATTATGAGTTAAGGTTGTAGTCTGCTCAGAATGTATAGAGTTTGGTAAATCATTCAGAAGGTATTGTTCCTGGTTCTAGGAGTGGAAACAAGGTTCAGGTGATGTGTTGGAGGTTCTATT